CTTCAGAAATCTCTCTTGTCTCCAGATAGCAGTGACGGATCTAGGATTTTTTTCAATGAAGGCGATTCGATGGAAAGGGTGCGATTTTGGTCAGAAAACGTGTTTTCGACTTCGTTTGATGTAAAATCGATTCATTCTTAGACCTTTTCTGCTGGGAAAAATCGAAAAAATTTTTTGAGAACAGGGGCGATCGCCTCCAGCAAGGTGCGTGTATGGGTCTTCTCTTTGTCCACACCCGCATCCTCACACCCACACCCATACCCACCACACACCCGCACTAACACCCACCCACACCCACACCCGTACCCATACCCTCACAATATAAATGGTTTATTAAATACAAGTTTACCACAAACTGCAGATGAAGCTTGCAAATTTGTTAAAGCAGCTGAATATTATAGAAAGTTTATACCGAATTTTTCTCAGATCGCCAAACCACTTAGAAAATTTGTTTCAACTACAGGAACTCAACAAAAGAAAAGACAAAAAACTATTATTACATTAACAAATGAAAAAATTAAAGCCTTCGAACAACTTAAAATTTTCTTACAACTGATCTGGTATTACGACTGCCAAAATAAAAGATTCCCTTTCAAAGTTCAAACTGATGCATCTAATGAGGGAATCGGTGCGGTACTATTATAAATTTATCCCGATGGTGATAGACCGATTGCATATCTTTCAAAGAAATTTACTCAAGCACAACGCAAATGGTCTCCTATGAAACAAGAATGTTATGCATTTATATGTGCATTAGATAAATGGCATAATTATTTCAGTGAAATCACATTCATTTGGGAAATTGATCATAAATCATTAACACAATTAAATCACAAACCACAAATTAATAAATGATGTGAAAGATGGAGATTAAAAATTTTAGAATATGATTTCAGGGTGAAATACATTCTTGGTTTAACAAATTCAATGCCTGATTATTTATCAAGGTCTCCAGCTGATGATGCCTAAGAAGATCCTGATTAAGTTTCACTTCTTATTTTGAAATCCACACAAACCGATTTTTTTCAGATATTAAAAATCATTCATCTATCGTCGTAGCTGTTCAAACTCGTGCTGCAAAGTTACGGAATCAAACTTCAAATGATGCAACAGGCACACCAAAATTTACATCAGATTCTCTAATCTCTCCATCACCTAATAACTCATTGAATACGTCAATTGAAAAGAATCGAATAATTCTATTTTCCATTGAAGAATTAATTCAAGCTCAACAAAATGATAATTATGCAAAAAATATTCTAAACAACATCAAGAAATATAAAACTTATATGATCAAAGATAATCTTTTAATGCGTCGACTAAATCCTCTATCAAATGGTCAAGTTGAACGATACAATTCAACAATGGATGCAAAAATTGCAGCTTTATCCCATATATAAAAAATACATTTGGATGATCCATTACCATTTGTAACATTCAATTGCAATACGTCGATCCATTCTTCGACCAAACAAATTCCATTCGAAATGATGTATGGTCGAGCACCAGTATTACCATTTGACTATGAAGAAGACAATGTTACAATTCAATATGATGATGAACATGTGAAAAAACTTAACCAATTTTTAACAAAATTAAATGAATAAGCAAAAATTAATATTATTAAAAATCAAGAACGATATAAACAACCTTACAATGCAAATCGTTGTGATCCATCATATAACGTTGGTGATCTCGTTCTCGTTAAGACACTCCACATCCATTCAAAATTCAATATTCGTTATGAAAGTGCATTTAGAATTACTGAAAAACTTGCACCAAAGACATTTATCTTACAACACATCAAGAAACTGACATTACATCGTCAAGTTACAACTGATGTGTTACTTCCAATTTTTGAATGCATTCATTAATTTCAGGACCTCATTTTTAAAGAGATCCGAAGCATAAATGATATGTCGAATTTTATGGAATAATTATTTATTATTAGAATCACCGGATTTAATATGATTTAGTATAGCTAGATCGAGGAGTGTGACTTTCCCCCATTCACTGATTTCGAAGGACTATTATATTCGATTTGAAAGATAATCTTTTATAGTTAATTATTTCATTACACGAAATACAATTTATGGATATGTTAATATTCATCTATTTATTTATTCTTTCAAATTCTCATTTGATCAATGAGAATCGAAAAGAAACATTATTTCGTACTCTATCTTTATTGACATATGAATTAATAGATGATAAACGAACGATAAATTATCTAGTCTTCTCATTTAAAAAACAAAAAAAACATTCTTTTTTTGTTTTTTTTGGCTCAGATAGCATTTGGTAGATTCCTATTCCCTATAAGAATCGATTATTTTACCAATTAGAGATTCCTACTCTTGAGAATCGGCATTTATAACTATATATTCTCTTCATTGTAGTGATGCTGTCGGAAGAAGAATATCAAGATACAAAACGTCAATTAAATAATATAACAGCAACTGCAAAATTACGACAAAAAATTAGAAGAATATTGCTGAAAAAATTAAAAGAACACGAATATGCTACAAAATTTAATCCATTCGAACCATTACCCCACATACAATTTTTTATTAACCGAACAACAACCGAACCCATACTTCAGCAAATTATTAAAGCTGTAACAACATCTACTGAATTTACAATTGATATCGAATGAATAAATGTTTATAAATTACGAAATGAACTAGCATTGATACAACTCCAAGTTATCTTGCCATATGATTATTCACTTGCATTAATAATAGAAGTGTGTCACCTTTCAAGTGTTAATCATGTTAATTTTATATTAATGAATGAATTATTTCGAATTGCATTTTCACCAGATAAAATAATTTATATCTGAGGATCAAAAAAAGAACTGATTCCATTTACTACCTTTGGTTTATTTTTAAAACAACAAGTCAATCACATGTGGCTGATTAATTTACAAAATCAATTCAAAATTTTTTGGGAACAACAACACCAACATCAAGTATCATCAATTACAATAAATCACTGTGTGTGTGAAAAATGTTTAGGAAAAAATCCAGGTGACCTATGCTCTCTTCAGGACGCAGTCGCGTACGAACTCAAAGAATATCTTTCAAAACAATTAACTGTGGAAGATTTCAACATTGGCTTAGATTCAAACCTTTACCATATGAACGATGAAGAAAAACATTATCGTGAACAACTTACTACATATGCTTTATACGATTGTTTTTCTATGCAAAAGATTATAATTGATATGAAAAATAAAAATTTTAAATTTAGTTTTGAAATGACAAAAAAAATTTCATATGATTTAGTGGAATCTATTTCTTCAAGTGATGATGAAATAATGTTTTCACAACTTACACCATCTATTGAACGTCTGAAAAATGATCAAACATTAAATATAAATAAGCAAGAACAATTAGCCTCAACATCTCCATGTGGAAATTTCAATTGGACAATGACCTCCACCGATGACAATCAATTAACCAATCAATAACAAACACAAACAACACAATCACAATCATCACCACGATCAGAACTTGAACATGCACAATGTACTTAATCTATACATGAACACAAACCTGAACACAAAACACAACAATTATCAGCTGAAGAAAGAAAACGTATACACAACAGATGTTGCACGCTTAAGTAACGTCGTCGATATTATAAAAAGGAAATCATTATCAAGAATATCGACAAAAAATTTACAATAAGAGAAATCAAGGATATTGTCAAACACAAGAATATCTCATTTTACGCCGTCAACATCTCCACTTCATCAACCACAGATGAACGAACATTATTTATTGGCATTCGTGATAAAACAAAATTATCTTTATATGAACATGAAACAAAACATTTATTTACGTCATCTCATTTTCGACAATTTCAACATATGAAACGACAACTAAAATATCGTCATCGAAATTATGATAAAAACGTACATCAACGTTATCATCACAAATAAATTAATAAAAAATGTTAATCAATATGTATTTAATTATGTATATTTACATCTAACTGATTATTTACATATACATTTACCTGATTATTTATATATACATTCAATTGATCATTTACATTATACATTTAACTGATTATATACATATACATTGGTTGATCATTTATGTATATAGTGACTATGTCAGATATTGTCGTCACTATCAACGATTTATATGTTCATGCAAATTTTTTTTCCAATTACATCTGAACTGACTCTCATCTAACACTTATTCTTGTCTTTCTACTTTTTTTGGATATAATTTTCTTTAGAAGCAACACGTACTGATACTTTTATATCATTATTGTTAGAAAACCTATGTTCTTTCATTTTGTCATTTTTCATACTCTACTTTCTTAATACATGTATTTTGCCTATCTCATAGGATTTATTTTCGTGTTTCAGATATTTTTTTTCTCTCTATTTTTTTCCCTGTGTACGAAATCCATTATGACCAGCAACATTTTCCTATCTAGTTTATTTTCATTTTTCTATAATCATTATTTTGGTTTTTGTTAAACCTTATATCATCATTGATTTTCTTTTCCTTTTTATCGATAGTTAAACACATGTTGTTATAGATATTGTTTTTCTTTCTTCTTTCTTTTCTCAACTTCTGAAACTCATTTTATCTTGATTATACGTTTATACTTCATTTACTATATATTGCTATCTTCTCTTCAACATTCACATTTTATTACTCAATAGTTTTTTTATGTAACCCTTCACTTCCCATCTGTTGACATTAACCGTTACAAAATGTTGATAGGACACATTTTTCCTTCAATGAGGGAGAATGTTAGAGGGATGTCGCTAACATACGAAATAGCTTCATCCTATCCTCCTCTTATATCATATATCTTCTGTTTCTGTCTATTCTCTATCTTCTTTATTCTCTTTCGTCTGATATATACACTTGCTACACTTGTGTTGTTATTCATTCCTTATGGTTATTCGAACAAAATAAAGTAAAACATAAACACTAACAGAGATATAGAAGATCTTGGAGATATAGGAGCAGGATGGCGGACTGACCTTTGATCTATCATCTTTCACTAGTGAACACACATAAAGCAGTATTAGCCAGTACGATTTTTCTTATAGAAGATGTAAAAGGTATATATCTCTACTCTGTTTGTCTCGAAAAAACCTAGAATCAGTCCTAAGATATAAATCTGTCTTAATAAAATGTCAGCGGCCACACTACGACAAGGCACACATTACACATATATGTAAAACTTGAAACTTGAATTCAATTGAGTTTTCAAGTGTCAAGTTTCAATTTTCAAGTTCCTAAGAGTTCTAACAGGAACGGCTGATGCACAAACTCACACATCACAGCGCAGCTGTTATGGGTGCCACCAAGGGACTGGCCACGAATGTACTGGCCACACCACGACATAGATCACATCGCAGCTGCTGTTTGTGTCATGAAAGGACTGACCACGAATGGACTTGTCACACAACGATGCATATCACATTGCAGTTGCTGTGGGTGCCACGAAGAGACTGATCGCGATAGGAGTGGTCATAATATGACACACATCACATGGCAGTTGGTACGGGTGCCGTGAACATAGATGTAAAACTTGCAACTGGGTTTTAACTAAGCTTTCTGGTTTCAACTTTCAACTATCAGATTTCAAATTTCATCCACAGACGGACATATCCCGTATGTATCTCTATGTGGGTACCGCGAAGGAACTCATATAGTGTCTCTGTCAATGTGATACGTGTCAAACCTGAAAGTTGAAGTAAACTATTCAGTAGTCCCATGAATAGTCACTGGATGGTAAGAACTTTTCCCCACCGAACTGATCTTTTATGTGAGAGACGGGGCGCATATGATGTGTTCGGAGAGTTTGCGCAGAAACTCAATTAAACATCGATAGCGGAGGTATAGTAGTATTGCAGATATGAAGGAGATAGGAGATATTGGAGATACTGATTACCTAGTGCAGATAATCTTTATATAGTGCTTGACTTTGAATAGCGATCCATTCAGATACATTGATTCAACTCTCCGACGCGTGTTCGAAAAACTCAATCATAAAAAATAAATAACAGCTTACTATGCTTCCTACATTTCCATATCTTCAATATCTGCTATATCTTCAGTAGCTCCAGTATCGCAAATATCTCCAATATATTCTACATCTCCTACATCCATGGTTATTTGAGTTTCCGTGGAAATTTCCCGAAGACATCTAATCACAAAAACAGAGTCCTAATACATCAAGAGAATACACTCTTCTGATTATATACACAAAAAATATAATTATATTCATGTGTCTTCGATATTCGTTACAAAGTGACAGATCGAGCCCGAGCACTCGATTCATTTTCATGGAAATCAAATGTGAAACACTTGAAAACCTTGTCTGTTGCAGAACGCCATATCTTTGGAACTGTCAAAATAACAAGTTCGTGTACATGTCTCATAACTTTGGATTGACAACAATTTCCGATCTTCTCTCTCTCATTATTACCCATTTAGTTCCGGATGTGACCCTCAATTTAATAAAGATTTTCAAATCAAGATTCGTTTCTTAAACAACTGCGTCTCTTGAATTTCACTGTATGCTTGGATCTCTTGATATCCTGCTACTTCTTGAGTTTCTTGATACCCATAGCATCCTTACGTTCTTTCATATTCCTGAATTCATTGAGCGTCTTGGGTATTTGGCTTGCTTGACTCCATTGATTTCCTTGAATTCCTTAGGATTCTTTGAATTCTTGGTTTCCTTGGGTTACTTGGCTTGCTTGTGATCCTTGACTTTCTTGGGATCCTTGAATTCCCTGATGTCCTTGGCTTCCTTGGGATCCTTGGCTTGCTTGGGATCCTTGGCTTGCTTGGGATGCTTGGCTTGTTTGGGATCCTTGACTTGCTTGGGATGCTTGGCTTGCTTGGGATCTTGGCTTGCTTGGGATCCTTGGCTTGCTTAGAATCCTTGGCTTGCTTGGGATTCTTGGCTTCCTTGCGACCTTTGGCTTGCTTGGGATCCTTGGCTTCCTTGGGAACCTTGACTTGCTTGGGGTGCTTGGCTTCCTTGAGATCCTTGGCTTCCTTGGGATCCTTGGCCTCCTTGAGATCCTTGGCTTGCTTGAGGTTCTTGGCTTGCTAGGGATCCTTGGCTTCCTTCAGGTTCTTAGTTTCCTTGGGACCCTTGGCTTGCTTGTGATCCTTGACTTTCTTGGGATCCTTGGGTTCCTTGAATTTGTTTACGGTACCTTATGCTGTGTTTTCTTAGTGTCGGTACGTGTTTAATAATTTTTGAGTGTAAGAATTCCTCGAGAGTTCGGAATTCACGGAATTTTGGCAGCTCTCAAGGATACACACGATGATGGTAGCCAAGGCAGCTGTTGAAAGTGATTTCCCGGTTTCTGTGAGGATCAGAAACGATCCTAAGGAGAAGACTTCATCCAAATGTCGATTTTTGACGAGGAATATGTGTATAGACAAGAAATGCTTCCAAAAGTGGCAGTAGAAACCAATATCTTCTGTCATAGGCGGAAGGGACTGTTGAGCTCGGTTTTAACATGATTAATGGTATAAAGCTGCGTACTATTGCTTGTAAAGCCTGTATATTCTACCGATCCTATGCAGAGATAGGTAGAAAAAAAAATAGAGCCATGATATTATGCACATTTTTTCCAATCATCGATTAATTCGCTCTCGCTCTCTTCACTACTCAAGCTGTCTTATCGATAAGTGATAGAACAAGCAAAAGAATAATAACATTTTTGTGAAAAAAACCCAGTTTGTCTCAATAATATATGATCATGCTTTATCCTACGTATACGGTTGGATGCACACAAGCCAAACGTATTTTCGATGTATACATAAACAAAATGATACTTTCATTTTCTTTAGTAAACAACGTCGATACATTAC